AGAGGTCATTCTGATGTCGGTACTGGAGTCTTGCACTCTGGTTTCCGAAAGGCAGCAAATGTCTACCGAGATTGTCTCAAGGGTGCGAACCAGGCAAGCTTTACTTCCGACCTTCATCAGAGTGCAAACATTAAACGCCGCGGGGCCGAATGGAGAACCAGTTCGAACAAGAGCTGGGGACTCGGTGGAGTGTGAGAAAGCGGGACATCGAACACCAAGCGTTTGCTCCTTACTTCTATCCGGTACATTCAGTGAGCTGCTGTTAGCGGTGACCTGGAAGGACGTAAGTGTAGTTGAAGGACGGGACGTGGGACCATCTGTGATTGGAGGTTGAGGAATGGAGACGGAAAAGCCAGTAGACGCAGCAAGAGCCAAAGTAGTAGCAGTAGAGTCCATCCATGATTCCTCATCGCTTCTGCTGGTTTCCCCAAATTCGTGCTGTCTCGCTTTTGACTCGACTCAGTACGCACTCACCATACCTGCATATTCAAATTTGCTTCTTACTGGATCCGCCAATTCAAGAGGGATATGTACGGCAAAAGCTCGGCGCCGGCGTGACACCACTTTCGCCCTGAAGAGCAAAGTTTATAACAGCTGTTCACTTAACCCTCTTGTGCGGTTTCGAATCCTGGCCCATCAGACCGACGGACATAAGAAGTAAAACAGTGGGTCCCCTTCAGCCATTTCGTTAAGGCAGAGAGAAGACAAAGGTTGCGATATGTCAACATTTCGATTGTTCTCATCAGTCGCAAACACCATACAATCAGAAACTGTTATTATCTTCTCACTAGACGCAACGCCAAAAAATAACAATTCACTGCTCCGCAAAACTTCTAGCCCAACCGAAGGAAAAAAGCAGAACGCCAATGACCCTGACAAATAACGTATTAATCGCAGCCAACGAACACTGTACAACGACTGAGGACCCTGGCTGTATTTATAGGTCTCTGCTGACCTTCGATTTCTAGAATTGGAAGGTCAGCTGCCAAGGTTAGTGGTTCCCCATATCTTTTCCCGAGAGGCCAGGTGGATTTTGATCACGTGTAGAAGCAGAACATTCAGGAACGTTCGAAATCGATGCGATAATCGTTAATAATCGATTAATCGCTAAAATAGGGAATTTCCAAGGCAATTCTTACTTTCTCCCGGACAGAAACACATAAGGGATTATATACATGGAAAAAGGGACACCACCAATCAAAATGTCACAGTCAAGACCATGGCAACCGAATTGATTGCCTCAAGAGTTTCTGTGCACATAGCACAGGTTGATAAGCCTTAATTAACAACGCCTTACTAATTGCTAGCATTATCGGGTTTTTGTTACGTAATAACACTTTGAAGGCTGTCTCGGGGTTCACGTGATGACAGGTTGTCATGAGGTGCTTGGTGATAGACGATGCCGGGCTCCGATTGATTCTCAGATTCGTCCCATGTTGTTGCGTAATCACTTGTCCCAACTACTTTGGCAAGTGTTCAGCTACTCTCTGGGCTAACTGACGGTTTGTTCTGTCAATGTAAATGTCACCGCAACCGCAGTTCAAAAAACCGATAATGCTAGCAGTTAGTGAGACGTTGTTAATTAAGGCTTATCAACCTGTGCTATGTGCACAGAAACTCTTGAGGCAATCAATTCGGTTGCCATGGTCTTGACTGTGACATTTTGATTGGTGGTGCCCCTTTTTTCCATGTATATAATCCCTTGTGTGTTTCTGATCGTATTGTTTGCGACTGATGAGAACAATCGAAATGTTGACATATCGCAACCTCTGTCTTCTCTCTGCCTTAACGGACATAAGAAGGTTTGCTGCCTCCGAACATCTCCATTTTTGCATTTAGCTCGTTTCTGGTAGGAATACCACGTGAGCAATGAGCGTGTTCGGTATCGTGTATTTGGTGCGGTAGGAGCGAGTGAACCACTCAGCACCGTTATATCAAACAGAAAAAGCAGAAGACATGGATGGTGAGAGGACGTCGCCATTTCGTGCATTCTTATCAATCACAAAAACATGCAGTAATGATATGTAAATGAGCAACTAACAATATCAAAGAGCTCATATATAGCTCCGTATTTGCGCCACTAAGGTTGGCTTAAAGTCACAGTCAGCTATTTTTAAATGCACAGCGGTTGTCGCTGGCGATCGATAACGATGGTCTCCAATAGCGTAAGCATGTGAGGCCGCCGATCGCGCGGTAGAACAGTGAATGACTCATCAGGATTGATTCGGTAGCCGGCGGTAAGCAAGCGCTTTGTGATTGCATCCGAACCTTACAGTGACGCGTGCTAATAAGCGAGATGATTGTCTTCCGTATTTAGATATACTGATTACACGGCGACCAGACGGTTCAATCAGAAGATCTGTACAGGAAACCAATCTGGACTGGTCAGTATATGCATTTTACTAGTTTCTCCCCTATTTAATACAAACGCTCCCTTGTCCGGACACTCTTCTCTCGGGTCCAAATGATCTGCACACCTAACACCATAGAAACAGAAAGGAATTTACTTTTCAATACGCCACAGTCCAACTTTTATCCGTTGCAATTCATTAAGCGTGTCAGTTAAGCAACCTAGCGAGATCGTGTGCTAACAGTTGCGAAGGAGCCGATCTTCATCGAGCTACCTTTCAAAGGTGACCACGTTATGAAGGACACCGAGAAACGGATCAGCACTTCACTCAAAAGAGCGTACAATGCGACGGAACTGCGGCTGCTCACCTCGACAAGACCTACGCTTATGTGTTCGATTAAGGCACCGACGACGCGGCAATGCACGTCCCACTGTCTATATAAATTTACCTGTAGTTGCGGAGCTAGCTACCTTGGACGCACTACCCTAATTTTATGTGTCAGAGTCAATGAACACATCCCCAAGTGGTTACGCAGCCGAATGGTGTCTGTACAGGCGGAATCGGTTGAATCGGGAAACCGAGTTGTCTCGGCAATCACAAACCACTTGCTTACCACCGGCCACTGAGTCAATCCTGAAGAGTTATTCACTGTTCTACTGCGCGATCGGCGGCCTCACATGCTTACGCTATTGGAGACCATCGTTATCGATCGCCAGCGACCGCCGCTGTGCATTCAAAAACAGCTGACTGTGACTTTAAGCCTACCTTGGTTGCGCAAATACGGAGCTATATATGATTCCTTTGACGTTGTTGGTTGTTCATTTACCTGTCATGGCTGCATGTTTTTGTGATTGATAAGAATGCACGAAATGGCGACGTCCTCTCACCATCTACGTCTTTTGCTCTTCCTGTTTTTAATTATAAGGAGAACATCTTGTTTTAAACCGTTATATCACACACCACGATCCGTTGGCTGGGCCACCTGTTGCGCATTCCAGCACATTGACTCCCCTGTCGTGCGTTTTTTACGCGGCGGTGTGAATCGGAGAAAAGAAGAGGGGGGTCGGCGATGGCTTGATCGCGAGGAATGAAGTCCCAGGTTGCGGCCCGAAAGACGATGAACACGCCTGGTTGGATACTCTTGTTACCATGGCGAGGATCCTACGTCATTGGCCTTTGTGTTTAGTTTCTTTTTCCCCCCTCCTTCAACCACGATCTCAATATTATTACTTGCTTCTTGTTTTTGTTCTGTAGTCTTTTGGATCTCGCTTTTCCTCTATCTTATATTTTTTATTGCGGCACAATAGCTGAGGTGTTTCTCATCTTTTGCTATCGTGTACTATGTAGTAATGATGCAGCATTAGAATGTTTATGATCTCTTAGCGCGCCCACAGCTTTACATCCTTGTTAGTTGGAACGCCGACGCGACAATGCTGACCAAAACACATCTGTTTGCTATTCGCACTTTGGGGTAGCGCATTGGTATGTTCATAGTACCACTTTGGCGTCATTCCTAATGGTGCAACTGCTTGTATTAAAACCGCTAGTTCAGTAAGCATGCCGTTTCAGTAGACTAATGTACAGTGTGTGGGGCTGAACTACGGGCGGTTGGCAGGAAAGATCGTACTGTTAAACCCCCTTTCTAGTATAGTAGTTTAAACAGAGCAATGCAATAGGTTTGTGAACAAGTGAAACAACTCGCATTAACTGGACAGTAGTACATCCTGGTATCGTTCAAGCAACAATCCTTACGAGCTCGTCGCGAGTCTGTCAGGCGCTTGTGTTTCGTTGAGTTTTATCAACATCCTTGGCTGTGAGTGAGCATTCAGACAGGTTCACTTTTAGCTATCCCAACAAGTTTACAGTGTTACTATCATTTAGAGAACAGGCTTACTACATATTTTTTGGCTGATTCCGCACACAATCTTGAGCACGTGGGTAGCTACGTGTCAATTCGCAAGCGTCTGTCTGCCGTTCGCGAGATTATGTGTAATTTGGTCACCTTTGCTGCTTGCCCCAAATTCGATTTAATACATACTCACCCTGTCTGTATATTTGAATTTACTTCTTGCTGGATCTGACACTTCAGGGGCGATATCTTTCTAGTAATGCAAGCTTGCTCAAAAACGATTCTCACGAACACTGTGGACGGCCCATAACGCATCCGACCTCTCCCCTTTGTTGTCGTGCATTTGTGTTAAGCTCGAGTTTAGAATTTGCTATAAAAGGACATCGGCAGTGTGCCGGTCCTTCGCACTGACGTTTCACTGGAACATGGAAGGATGGCTCCCATCATCTCATTTGCATGATTCGGCTGAATTATCTGGGAACTGAACAGGCACACCAGCGTCCCTCAAGGCACCTTCCGTTTGTGAGCGCAATCACTTTTTCCCTTGTCTAGTTTGTTGTGGCAAGGTCGTGGAACCTACGCGGGTTTATTTGCAGTTCTTGAATTGTGTCCGTGGACGTATATTGATCAGGGTGTATTCCTTTCCTGGTTTAGTGCCACTTTGTTCGAGAACTAATCCCATAGTTCTTTTTCCCTTATATCTACCTCACGTGATTCTTGAACGGGTTTTTCGCTTTCACATAATACCTTGTATTGCCTGTCATTGTTGTACGCTTGTTTTTGATTTGTTTATCATTCAGATCTTGCTCTAGATTGGGTCTCTGACAAAACGGATCATTCAGTGGGTTCGGCGGTTGCGATTGAGAAAGCGCTTCTTTTGCAACACGTCGCTGCAGGCAAGCGTGTCCCTTCGGATCCGACCACTAAGGAGCACATAACTGTTTACTTTGATGGTACGTTTCTTCAGAACCATTGTTTTTCCTACGCTATAATGCGCGAAATATGTGCACTGCCTAGTCATTACACAACAAAATTGTTCCCACATGTTTCTAGGCGTGTGTGTATGTTTTAATTCAATTCTAAGAGGTTGATTTTAGTCGTATTGATCTCTTCCAGCATCTTTTCAATACGATGTTTTCATTCACCTATTTTTGGATGGAACTGTCTCTTTCAGATCCATGGTACCGATTAACTTCATCCACTTAAAGAACCTATTATGACGCTTCCACTTTTGATTGTCACAAATGTCTTATGCTCCGTATATTTTCATGCTTGTTCTCCCATTTGAACTCCCTGCAACTCTGTGTTGCCTTGTCGTCTACTCACTGTCGCCGTTGTTCTTTGTCATGGTCGAATCCACAACCATCTGGTGTATAAAACCGTTCGCTATCTAGCCATGGGTGTTATCCCTTTAAACTCTTCCACATTGTGACGGCCAGGACACAGTTGGTTAGTCTCCCCATCAAGTCGGTAGCAGTGTCTTGTCGTATTTCCTTCTTAACTAGTAGCTTAATCATTCGGCCTATCAGTGACAGCAGAGGAGATGCAACTACTTCCAATCAGCTTACCAGTCCCTAGTCTACTTGGTTGATTGGTGCACCTTTTCTACACCATTTGGTCATGATTCGAGGCCCTTTCTCATGTCTAAGCTATCTGATGGGCGATTTTGCACATACAATTTGCTGTTTGGTTATAAATCTATCCTCACTATTGTTGACAAAATTTTAGTATCATTCATTCCAGCCACCACCTGTTTTCTCGCTTAACCTGATGACCACCGGGGACAGTGTATACCATAGTGCCTTCACGGCGCAATCTGGACGTTATAGTAGATGAATTTCCGCCTGTCTAAATAGGGCCACCGTTTGCTTTTTTTTACTTCAAGTTACTTGGCACTTGAAGTAACTATTTGCTAGAGCCTCCCTTGCCTAACCTTTATCTGTTCACCTACTCTAAAGTAACCTATCCTTATTTCGCGGGTGGCGGAATTATGCAGAGGTTATTAACAATTGCAAACGTTGCACTGCTACCACCGGTTCCCCAGAAGTTATCACATATATCGGTATGATCTTTCTGGCTTTTTGTATACTCTACATCTGCTTTACTTTGTGGTATATATTGATGTACCGTCAATATTACCATTTCAGGCAAATGGGTTATGGTGGTCCGAACGTTTGACTTGCAGTTTTTGCGCCCCGGACTTTGTCACCAGTTCAGGCATGCCAGTATCCCAGCTCGTGTGCGATCGTTCTTCGATACATGACTCAAAGCCTCGATGCTCCTTTGCTGCTGAGCCTCACCACTGTGCTGTTTAGAGACATAGCCACTCCTCACCGAGGGTGTCAACAAACTTGCTATCTTTATCAACGCACTAATGATGTCACCTCGCTCGATGACAAAGTGCATGCAATTGATTTATCAAGCTCGGCGAACCAATCAGCGCCTGATGACCAGATATGGATCATATTCATTGTGAGCGCCTGCTGCGTAATACTGAAGTTGCACGGTTAGCACTGGGCACTGCTGGGAATCCCCTTCTAAACCTACAGTCACTATTCTTGTTGAACCCTGTTTTTCAGGTCTTTCAAACGTACATTCCTGCGTGTTTTCTTTGCGGACGCCACGCATCTTGTGGTATTTACACAACGACATGTCACAAAAGTGTGAAAGCCATGTGATGAAATAACTTGGTTTGTTTGGAAAGTGCAATCTTTATATAGCGTACGGTTGTCAAAGCGCTTCGAGTGTTGGACCGAACACTATGAGAAACAGTTTATTCAGAAACAGAGTTTCCGTTTTCTCCATCGGCCAATGATCGCCCTGCTTCCTGGGCCGACACCCTGGATCCGCCTTCATGCGCAGAAATCGGACGTGAGATCAAACGGTTAAAATTGAACAAGGCGGCCGAAGAAGATGGATTTCATTCAGCCCTCTCCCGATTCGGCGGCTCTTCAATTTACATAACTTATTAGTGAATCTATGGGAGCAGGAGATTATCCCAACAGACTAGACCCGCTACTTGATAATCTCAATTTTCAAGGAAGGCTCCCGTTCAGAATGTTTCAGTCATAGAGGAGTCAGTTTGATCTCCACTACCTCTAACTTACTTGCCTCTGTCATCCTCCATAGACCCGTAAAAGTCAGATGCGCGAGGAGCAGGCCGGGTTTCGTCGAAATCGAGGTTGCATTGACCACATCTTCACATTACGTCAATTGTTGGAGAACCGCCATGTTTATTGGTGGCCCACGGTATTCCTGTTCCTCGACATCAACGATGTTTTCGATTCGATTGAGCGATGTACCCTTTTGGACTGTCCACTGAGAAATGGTGCGCCCGGTAAATACATAAACATTATCAGAGCTCTGTACGCGCATACTTCGGGCAGAGTGAGAGTTTATGGCAAACTGTCGCCGCCCTTCAATATCTCTAGCTGTGTAAAACGAGGTAGCTCGCTGTCACCTTTCGTTTTTAACTTTGTCGTTGACGAACTCATGAATACGGTTTTTGTGGGGCACGACTTAGAAGGTGTGGAGCTGCTCCCAGTTGAGTGACTTTTTGTCTTCGGATATACCGACGACATTAACACTCATAAACGTGCTAAGCTGACCTGATAAATTAGTACTGACTGTTTTCGGACTATACTTTACACCCTCGAAATACGAAGCCCTCCAAGTTTGGCAGGGACACTTCTGCGCTGATCCTTCGTGGTGATCAGCTAGGAGTCTTCCAGGAATTTAACTATCTGGGCAGCTATATTAGCACCCGTTGAATTTAAAATGAGTTCACGCACCGTGTAGCGAAAGCTCAAGACGCTTTTTCCAATCTCCACCACCTGTGGCGCCAGCGTGACATTACTCTCGCTCTGAAGGACAGAGTTTACAATGCGGCCGTCCGTTCAACCCTACTATATGGTTGCGGAACCTGGCCCATCAAGTCGACAGACATAAAGAGCCTAGTTACGTTCGATTATTGCTGCCTTGGTAGATTGGCTCATATCTGGTGGGAGCACCGCGTGAACAATGAGCGTGTTCGGGGTCGCATTTTTAGTGCAGTAAAAGCATATCAATCGCTGAGCATCATTATATCACGCACCAGGCTCCGATGGCTAGGCTGCGTGTTGCGCATGCCTGCACACCGACTCCCTCGACGTGCGTTGTTTGGTCGCTGGGATGTGAACGGAAGTAGAGAAAGGGGGCCACGCGACAACTTGGTCAAGAGGAATGAAATCCCTCACTTCGAAGTTGGCCCCCTTTGGTATGTCCCAGCTGCTGGTCTGGGGTCCTAAGGACGATGAACACGTTTGGTTGGACACACTAGCTGACATGGGGGAAGCCGACCTTAATGGCGTTTATCTTGTGAGTCGTTTTTTCCATCCCCCTCCTCTTCAGCTTCTCCCTCCAACAACGATCTCAATCTAAGGCACAATTTGATTTTAGTATTATGTTATCTTTTAGCTTTTATAATCTGTAGTGTTTAATCTCTTATCTTTTTTGCATTGCGGCACATTAGCTGAGGTGTGTTTGCTACTCTCAGCTAACGTGTATTGACGATTATGCCTATGCGGAAGTCTTACAATCTCTGTATCATTCTTTTCTGTCGACACCTTTTGGTTTATGTCACTCTCTGAATCCTTACTTTACTGTTTCCAGAGAGTATCTAGCGCCATTCAATGCACCCTTAAATACATTGCTGTTATTTGCATTGTTTTCGTATCCATCTTAGCTTCTGTCATCCGATGGAATGAGTTTCAATACAAGTCAGTAAGTGGCAAATCGCTGAACACGTTTCCTTCCGGTAAGTTCGGCCTTGTCCTGACTGTTTTCTTAATGACTTGCCACTTGTAAACGTTAGGTAGCACGGGAACCTCTGATTAACAGCTTTACCATTTTTATGTACTGGGGTATGAGGGCTTAGACAGTGTTACATTGTCTGAGTTTGATGCACAAGGGTTACCTTGTGCTCCTCTCGTATTGCATATATATATATATATATATATATATATATATATATATATATATATATTCGCCCCCTATCATTGCAGCATTCTCTTACATCGGGTTTGCCATCCCATGTGACTTTATTAGTCAGTAATATGCCTACGCGTGACTGCACTGATGTCTAAATGTCTGATTCGCTCACCCCACAACCTACCACCTGATATTTTTTCCATCAGTACCAATCGTCTCCTTTACTCGTCTCCAGGTAGTTCACCGATAATGCACCCTGTACATACGTGGTATCAGTATCCGCACACATAGCATTGCCCTATTCTGCATACCTTTTGGTGGTGGCGCAATATTTGATTTGATGTCTTACTTGCGGCGGGAACGCTTACGAGTGGTGATGGCCCAGGAGATGGGAATATGGTTGGCGGCATCCGGTTTCGGATTCGTGTCACTGGGGTCAGCCACACAACGCCTGCACCTGCAGAAGGGCCGTAGATGGCTTGCGCTGCACCACTCACAACTCCATCCACACACCTCATATCCAGTGTAAACCCGAAGGAATAAGACCAGGAGGCATGCGCATGGGAGCCAGGTTTCATCAACGGAGCCGGCCCACACACCTTCACAGGCAAGCAAACACAAGCACGCTGTATTTGGGGAATCAAGTGCACACAAGGCGGTGGCTGGACCGTAGTCCGCTTCACACTGGGTGCATGGAACCACTCTTCGAGCCTAGCACGACCACAAGTACCGTGCACCCCGTCCCCTCCAGCAACGACCAACTGTCTCCTGGAGCCAGTATGGACGATGTAGTGGGTAATAGACAGGTAGGCACCTTGTCAACATGCACATGAAGCGCAGCCACACCGGGGATAGCACGCAACAGCCAATCACTTGAAACGACAAAATGAAATAACATAAATCCAATAATGCATACAGATACGGTGGCATAACTCTTCGCTAAATTAGCATATGAAGTAAGTTAGTTAGCAATGAATCCGCGATAAGGAAAAAAATGTCCACAAGTTACTCAAAAATGCTACAAACGCAACAAAATTACCGAAGATAAGCGCAATTAGCGTAAGCGACGTGGCCAGCTAACAGAAGACTATTCAGATAGGCAAAACTAACCAAATAAACTGGAATGAAATTTATGCAGCTTAAAGAGACCTAGTTTAAGTGTAAGTTGGTTTAGCCCAACTGCGGTGAAGAAGCATCAAGAATGCAACATCAGCCTCAGCATGGGGCACACATACATACATGGTTGGCGGCCTCCGGTTTCGGATTTGCCTGTCACTGTGGCAAGCCACAGGACGCCTGCGCCTACAGAGGGACCACGGGTGGCTTGCGCTGCACCACCCACAGCTCCAACCACACACCCCATATCCAGTGTAAACCCGAAGGAATAAGACCGGGAGGCATGTGGATGGGAGCCACGTTTCATCAACGGAGCCGGCCCACACTCCTTCACAGGCAAACAAACACAAGAACGCTGTATTTGGGAAATCAAGCGCACACAAGGCGGTGGTTGGACCGTAGTCCGCTCCACACTGAGTGCATGGAACCACTCTTCGAGCCTAACACAGCCACAAGGACCGTGCACCCCGTCCCCTCCAGCAACGACCAACTGTCTCCTGGAGCCAGTATGGACGAGGTAGTGGGTAGTAGATAGGTAAGCACCTTGTCAACATTCACATCAAGCGCAGCCACAGCGGGGATATCAAACAGCAGCCAATGAATGTATGTATATATATATATATATATATATATATATATATATATATATATATATATATATATATATAAAGCGTTGAAGTCGAACTGCACATAGTCGATAGTGACAAGAGTTAAACAATTAAATGAACAACGCCGAAAACACCCTTATTAATGCAGCACATCAGCCTAAGCATGCAACGCTGAATTACTTCACAGTTAACGGGTATCACGCTGAAAGACGCAACCTGTTTGTTGTCTTCGCTTATGCGCCAGCGGATTTTAGCTGTGAATCGATCGAAAGGGATTTTACTCGCCAGCTTCTTCAGTTAGATATTGGTTACTTTCCGACCGAAAATACTATACTCTACAAATGGTTTCGAATTTACTTGATCTCATCAAGTAACTAGGGTATGCATCGAACTCGGGACCATTGGTATCTTAGTCGAAACCATTGCCCCTTCGTCCACCGAATCACGAAGGGCAACACCCACTATATATGTGCTTCATCAGTTATGGTCCCAATGATCGAATTGGCCATGGTTCACTTCAGTGGGACTTGCGGTCCACGTTGCGACTGCACGTCGCAATCCATTCACACAACATGTGCTTCAGGAATGACCCTCCACTCAACTTCTTTAGTTGTTATGCACAAATCCTCCAGATCGGACGGCGTTATCCTCGCCGGCAACTTCAACACAACAGTTGTCCACTTGTTACCAGGGACATATCACGCACTGAATGAGACTCACTCGGATAACGGAACCAGCCTTCCCGCCTTTTGTGAAGACAGCGGTCCTTTTAGGACTCGTTAGTAGCGCTCACCCGCCAAATCCTACCGGATTCGAACCGATGACCTTACTCTTACGAATTCAGTAACTAATGCCACTGAGCCATGACGGTGGCGGACCGCCATGACTGATATCTAAGTGCGATATAGTGTGGCTCATCCTCCACTGTTATACATGTGATGTACGTACAGAGGACATTGCTGGCCCCGACAGCTACGGTTTTCTTTACAAGCCACCGGTGGGTGCGTGCTACAGATGAGTCCCAATAGGGCGGAGCGGTCATCTAGCATTTTCCTGGAGGTGTAATGGTTGTCTGGCGGGGCCGAACTGTGACGAATCTCCTCAAAAACACCATCGGTGCTTCCCACATCTGTGATGCTACATTCGGTCCAATCACTCCTCGAATGGTTGAATTTCTGCACACTCACTGGCACTGTTGCGCGCTACCGAACCCTCCCACTAAATTTAGACCAGAATGAACTTCGTCGCACTGTTGGCCGACAGTTCAAACGATGGCTTTGCGGCGATCTGGAAGTTTGGCTCTGCTAACTTTCAAGATGTAAACCGACACTTGCTGGATTTACTCGCACTTTGCTCCAGATCATTCGGACCACTGGACACAGGAGGTTTGGTGTCAGCGAGGTCATCTAGGCGGACGGGTCGCAAATTACTAACTTGCAGACGCATTGGCAGATGGCCTGAGCACATCCGATCTCAGTTTTGTTGCTCCTCGTCATCCATCTTTCCACTCAACACCTGGTCGCATGCAATATGTTGTGTTACTAGAACTACCCACTGAAGCAGACGTCTTCCTTGAAGTACAAATTTTGAGGCGTTTTAAGGCTGTGGACTCTGACCAGCATCCTTAGAACTGTTCAAGTACGGGGGCACAGCAGTTGCCCATAAACTAACGTCCATGTTTTTGTATGTCTTGCAAAAAGTAAGGGTCTCATCTTGTGGAGATTCTGTAATTTTCCCCATCTCCTGAGACAGTTCTTATATTTCATGCGCTAATTACTGAGGGGTCAGTCTGACTTCGGTTGTTCACATTATAAAGCAAAACCTTTGAAGTTGCCCACCACTATATCCTGACCACCCATCCAACTTAACCGTTTTATTTTTCATTGCTTGAGCGTTCATCATGTAAACCTTATGGATCCGGACCTCTTTATGTTTTTCCACTTTGGTCCAGTCCTTTGAGTAATCAGCCTAGCATCCATCATGCTCCGCAGGCTAGCTTTAATGAATGAGTCGGTACCATGAGGAGTAGGCTAATTTTCGCCTCTGTTTGGGATGTGCCGATCAAATATTCACACTTCGTCAGCTCCTAGAACGTCATCATTTCTATCGCAGATTTACCATCATCGCCTTCATGAAACTCGGGTTGCATTCGACTCAGTAGACCCACTTGCTTTATGGCAATTTTTGCTAAAAAAAAATTGGAGTTCCTGAAAAGTACGTCGATATACTTCGGACACTGTACCTCCATACTTCTTACATAGTGAGAGCCTACGGCAACTTCTCGGCACTCTTCTATGTCACCAGTGATGTGCAACAGGGATATCATACGTCTCCATTTCTCCTCAACGTCGCGATCGAAAATGTCCTGTTGAAAGCTTAGAAGGGTTGAAGAGTTTTAGCATTGAGCTCCTCACAGGAAATCGCGCAATCGATTTGGATTGCGCTGATTATATCGCTTTTCTCAGTGAAGACCCATGGTGTGCAATTGATAACCTATTTGATGGTATGCTTTGTGCTTTGCCTCTTCTAAGTGTAAAGGGCTGTTGCAGGATTAGCAGGCACCTCTTCAGCTCACCAGCGAAGATCTACAGCTCGAACATGTAGATAGTTTTTGTGTTAAGGAGCTGCACTTCTGCCAACAGTACTGTTGGAGATGTATCACTTCGAATCACTAAAGCCTGGCCAACTTTTGCGAACTTAAAACACTTTTGGCGTCGTCGCGACATTTCGCTCTCATTAAAGTATATGGTTTATAAGGCCCATGTACACGCGATACTGTTGTATGGATACGAATCTCGACCAATCCGTGTAGATGGCATGCGTATGCTTTCGGTCTTTGGCACTTGCTGTTTACGGGGGGGGGGTCGTTTATGTGGGTGGTAGCCATACGGAATGCGCAATGATGATGTCCGACGCCGATTCTTAGGCAGGGATTATCTTCCCCTTCTATGAACGTGTTCCGTCGCACCATTTGTGCTGGTTTGGCCACGTCATGCGCTAACTTAACGAGCGTTTGCAATCTCCTGCCTTAGTTACGCGCGCGGGGTCGCACTGGAAGATACCGCGTGGAGGCCAGCCGAACACTTGACGAAACATGAAATTATTGACATCTTGCCTAGCCATACCGGTCAGTTGCCGAAAGAATTGCGCGCTTGCGTTTTTCTCCACATGTAACCGGTTCTAATCTGCATAAGTGCGGGCGACCATGCGGTATACCCACCAGCGCGACTGCTGGTGTTTGCATGTCAACGAATCACCGGAACGGTGTACCGGCGTACTGCTGATACCTTTTTACATTGTTCGCCCAGTACGTCTTCCTAATTGAAGGCTCAAAGATGAATAATGCCAGTGGCTTACAACACTGGAAGCAATGGCGCAAAACCGGTTGCCATGAGACCAATGTCTGAAAGTCTGCGTGCATTAACAGAAAAGGTACATATTGGCATGTGTAAATGGTAAAATATGTTGAAATTCATTGTTTCTCCCTATTACTTTCCCTATTTTCCATGTCTTGCATATTTTGCACTATTTCGACTCCACACCACTTCTTATTGACTGCTCTCCCACTCGGCCGGTGGCCGAGTGGTCGGCACGCCTGGTTGCTGGTTCCAATTCGCGTAGGGGCTGGCGTCTTCGCACTACACTCAGCCCACGCAATGATCAAAGTGAGCTTCTTACGTTCTAATATTGCTTCCAGATCATGGGAATCAAAAGTGGCTGATCGGCGTGCATTTCGCGATCTGATCCCAAAGGCTGTTGCCGAGGCGCAAGAGAAAGCCCTCGTGCATTCGGAGAAGAAACTGCAGGTGCCGAAGCGACAGGCGCCTATGGGTTGTACTACATCGACGTCGAGCGCATGGTGCTGCATCACATGCGGTCGCGAGTGCATGAGTCAGGCAGGCCTAGTGAGCCATGAGCGAGGCCACTCGGGGCCAACACTGAAACGGCGACGAGTCCTGCTGAGAACGTAGGCAGAACCGGCGTAGCATTAGTAGGTACACTGCATTCGATTTGCTAACCGCGTGTTTGCGTGCTGCCTCTTCATTTCAGGTGATTGGTTTGCTATAGTTTGTCAAAGCTTACTTTGTTAAACCATTTAGATGCCTGTTTGGATAAGATTCTTTTTACTTACACACGTCGCTTAAGCAGATTGTTTTTAACTTCATTAACTTCTTCGCGTTTGAAGCATTTTTAGATGTCTTAAACTTATCGCGGATTTGTTGCTAACCACTTTATTTCATATGCTCATCTATTAAAGAGTTAAGTCGGTTTATCTGTATGCTTTATTCGATAACTATTATTTGATAGTGTCATTTCAAGTGATTGGCTGTTGTTTGACATCCCAGGTGTGGCTGCGCTTGACGTTCATGTCAACAAGGTGCCTACCTGTCTAACACCCTCTACCTCGATTGCTGGCTCCGGGAGACTAGGTGGTACGAGGTGCACCGTCCTTGTGGTCGTGCTAGGCTCGAGAAGTGGTTCCATGCACTCAGTGTGGAGCGGACTACGGTCGTGCCACCGCTTTGTGTGTGCTTGATTCCCCCAATACAGCGTGCTTGTGTTTGCTTGTGAAGGAGTGTGGGCCGGCTCCGTTGATGAAACGTGGCTCCCATCCACATGCCTCCCGGTCTTATTCCTTCGGGTTTACACTGTAGATAGGGTGTGTGGATGGAGTTGTGAGTGGTGCAGCGCAAACCACCCATGGTTCCTCTGTAGGCACAGGCGTCCTGTGGCTGTCCCCGTGAAGGCCACCTCGATCCTTAAATCCTGTGATAGCTGCAATGCTCTCACACTCTTAATGACTTTGCGGCATAGTGGAGCACACTACGCTGTTGCTAAATGGCAACTCGCAAAATTGGGAGCTTATAATCGGAAGGACTGTGATAGTTCCGCTAAAATTGGTTTCCAGGAACTGTGGGCGATTTATGTTTGGTTCGTAGTCGTCATTCGGAGCCTTTGTGTTAAGTACGACTTATTTGATGTGCGTTCAGACGGGGCGATTGTTGGCAGTGGGTCAGCTTGAAATGCTGGCTCGATGTGTCGTTTTAACATCGCTACCGCTCATTCCTGCGCAGCATGTATTTCGGCCTTTGGATTAGGGGCTATGGGTGTCTCACAGAAGCTTCAACAGCAACCATAGTTCACTTCCACGTGTAGCTCACTGATACCCATGTCTCTCAACAACCGCTGGCACGCCGCCATTCATTCCTCTCCGGCCCTTTTGTTCTTATCTGCCCAGTACAGAACGCGTCGCTCAGCACTTACATCGCCTGCATGTCCAACCACTTTTAATTTGTTTCATCAGTTAGGCTTTATTCCCAACTCTCCTTGGGTTTATGAATACCTTGCTTTCACCTGCTTTTGCTGATGCAGGTCCGTCGGCGAATCAAGCGAGTGAATCATCCAATAATCCAGTTCTTGGAACTGCCCATCAACATGCTCATTCACCGACTTTTGTTTGCTTTAAACTCCATGTCTGGTTGATTCAGTGTCAGTACTCTATGGGAAACTTTTTTTTTGTCGAAGAAGGCAATTTTCGCCGATGTCCTCGGTTGCACAATTTCCGAGTCCACTATGCACCACAGCTCCCTTTATGTCTCTCACGTTGTCTATGAACCAATCAGACTGGTTTAACATCCTCGAGTGATTGAAACTTGTAGCCACAAAACGACGACTAGAACAGGATTTGTGGTGCCACCAGTGTATATTTGTGCATCATCACAGCTCTCTCTATGTCATACCGCGAGCACATTTGGGAGCTCTATGGGGTGTGTACTAATACGTACCCTCTTCTCAACCTTTAAGCTTGTGTTACGTGGGTCACGTGAGTGTGCTCGCCTCGAACTTGCGCGTCGCAGCTATACATTTAATTTACGTATACGCTAATGTGACTTCGACCACTTCCGTCCCCACGGCTTGTTTGTCCACCCTGTTGTGCCGCTAATCGTCCATGTCTTCTGTACCTGTCCTAATCACATTCCCTTCATATTTTTTTCCTACCAACAGCTTCTGTCGAAGTCTCTTGTTTACTGTATATTCCAAATTCACAAACACTGGCCGTCGGGTTTAGCTTCGGGGGGTGGCAACTTTGGTCTCTGCGTTCAATGAACTTGGAGTACGTTTACAAACTTGATCGCTTTTTAAAGTCCACTGTTTATTTGACCAATTCATTCTCAACCATGGTTCACTGACTGATAAGGGCATTCGCATTGTGCTAACTTCCATACACGAATTGTGCGTCCTTCCATTTCTTACCCTCCCTTGCCAGCACTTTTTTTCGGACTCCGATACTCACAACACGTGCCCAGACGCGCTTCACTTCCGCTGACTCTTACTTCTAACTCTCTGACCTCAGAGACACGTTACTGCAGTCACTGTGCGACTCATCAACTTCAGCAGTACCTCAATCATTTGTACTGATGCTTCGTTGCCATACAACCATGATGTTTTAAGGAATAAAGAATACTAAGAGGGAGAGAAGGGGGACTTACCTGAAAATCTTAATGCCCTATGCAAACATTCAGGGTCAAGGCGCCTATACCTTTTGTTAGCAACATGCCGTCACGATGCCGGCAGCTTGCCTGCTGCTCCTTGTCTGGTTGCTTGTTGTGACATCAGCCCAGCAATTCGCTTCGGAATATGCTCTCCAATCCCCTTAATCCGACAACGATCTTTTGTATTGGACGTCACTTCTCCATTGGCAGTGAGTGACCAGTTCATACTCTGATCACCAAGTTGTATATATCTAGGGGCCTTTTTATCCCGTAAGTTAGCTTGGTCTATTCAGGTTGCCGAAACTTAAGGTAATGTTAGACGGTTGTCATTCTACGCCCACTGACTTAAAGTACTTTAAGTACCCCGTGATTTGATTCTTTGTTTTGTGATTGTATTCATTCTGCCGCGTTGGCTCTACTGTTCCATCGTATTCTTTCCACACACGCTTGCACACTAATTGTACGGCTCACAAAGCTTACTTACAGATGTAGCGGCTTGTCTAGAGTCACTGGTGTATTTTATTGTCAGCTAGCATCGATACTATTGCACCAGGTTCTCTTTCAAATATATAAACGACCCTCTTCATCCAATATGTTGTGACCTATGAAAAACACTATATATTTCCTCTACCCGTTCGAAATTAGAGGTCCTATTTACTCGTACTGTATCTTACCGCCGTTCTGATCTACCGTACCGGCTATCGTGTAAAGATAAGGCGGTATTGGCGAGACATCTTCCTTGCGGCTTTCACTGTCCCGCGTCATAATCAGCCATTATCCCGCAGATAACTCAGCATCAAGCACACTTTAAACAAGCAGTCCGACTAGGAGACGGCAGCAGGCGCACCACTGGTGTCGGTTGCGAGACATGTCCTGTAACGTCTCGAGCCAAGCACAAAACGTGTCACATGGTCTACAGCCCGGAAGGTAAGACGGACTAGCAGCGCCCAATTTGGTCGTCAGTGTCTTCATTTCACGCTGTCAAGTCAACTTCTCTCTACCTCGAGCTATGCGCTACCCTACACCTGGCATACTAAACAAGGCCCTTCTAGGTAAGCAGCGACCAGGCATACGTATCACGTGCCCAAGCCAACGCAACTTATTCAGTGCTATCTGTTGTTCTAACGAGCTAGCATGATTATCACTACTTAGTACTCGCCTACGCACATCATCGTTGCGGACACGCTGGTGCCATCCGACACCAGCAATGCTTCGCAGACAGCGATGACTTGAAGGCACCTCAGATCTTCAGACCGAAGGGGCCAGGTTACACTACCATAGAGCAGGATGGCCTTCACTGTTACCTTAGTATACATGGCCTTTCAGACGGAGAGAAACTCCTTTCTGTCGCCAAACATGCCGCAGGTTCAAGAAGCACTTCTGGCTTTTGCAATGCGTGAACTGACTTCAGTTTCTATGTACCCATTGTTGCTGATGCAGCTGCCAAGGTAAGCGAATTGATCAACCACCTCGAGCTCTTCGTTATCAAGAGTTAAGGGATCATCAACTGTCTGCTGGTCCTGCATAAATACTTTGCACTTTGAAGGTGCGAAGCGCATACTGAATAATGGGACCACTCCAGACAGGTTATTCAGGGCTGATTATGCCTCCGCAACATCGTTGAAAAGCAAGACGATATCGTCCGCATAATCATCATCATCCTTATACACGTTAATTGCAGATGGAAAACACAGCTGTTGTTTCGCCATACAAAAGACAAGAGGAAAACGACAGAGGCGGGTTTAATCCCCAGTAACGGATGGACATCGTTCCGGAGAGCTAACAGCCGGCTATCGTGCCGCAAAAAATAGCTATATTATGCCTAACGAATATGATCGTGATTGGTAGGGGAGGCTAAGCAAAAGGAGGATGGACGAAGGAATTGACAGCACAAACGCCATTGGGGCCGGCTCCTAGCCATATCCGCAAGTGTGTCCAACCAAACGTACTCATCGTCCTTAGGACCCCAGGCAGTCGGCATACACCAACCGACACCAACTTCGAAGTGAGGGGTTTCCTTTCTCGGGCAGAGTGTGGGCTTACGGCAAGTTGTCGTCGACCTTTAATATCTCCAGCGGCGTGAGACAAGAATGCCAGCTGTCACCTTTCCTTTTCAACTTCGCTATTGACGAAGCCATGGAGTTTTGCATTTACAGGACATGACTTGGAAGGTCTGGATCTGCTTCCAGGAGAACGACTTCTTGATTTAGAGTATGCTGATGATATTGCCCTGATCTGTGACAGCTCACAAACGTGTCAAGCGGCACTGGACAGATTAGCAATAACTGTCCGTCACTTCGGGCTTTGCTTCGCACCCTCGAAGTGCAAAGCGTTCCTCCAGGATTGGTCTGAACCGCCTCCTACGCTGACCCTTGGTGGGACTCAGCTAGAAGTCGTTCAAAAATTTAACTACCTGAGAAGTTGTATCAGCGCCCATGGGATTGAAGATGAGATCACGAATCGTATAGCAAAAGCTCGGGGCGCTTTTGCTAACCTTCGCCACTTATGGCGCTCGGGCGACATCACTCTTGTCCTGAAGGGTAGAGTGTACAATGCAGCAGTACGTTCGATCGACCCTACTGTACAGTTGTGAAACCTGGCCGCTTAAAGCAGCGGACCTGAAGAGGCTAGTTACGTTCGACCACCAGTGCCTTCGTAAGTTAGCTCACATCTGGTGGGAACACCGCGTGAGCAACGAGCGTGTTCGACGCCTTGTTTATGGCACAGGAAAAGGAAATGAACCGCTCAACACCGTTATTTCACGCATCAGGCTCCGATTGCTCGGTCACGTGTTACGCATGCCAGCCCACCGACTTCCGCGACGTGTGTTGTTTGCGCGCCGGGGGTGTGGATGGAGGGAGAGGAGGGGTGTGGATGGAGGGAGAGGAGGGGTGGCCAAGCGATGACTTGGTCCGGAGGAATGAAGGCCCTCACTTCTGAGCTGGCCTCGGTTGGAACGTCTCGGCTCCCTGGTTGGGCTCCGAAAGAAGATGAACACGTTTGGTTGGACACACTTGCTGATATGGCTAGGAGCCGACCTCAGTGGCGTTCGTGCTGTGAGTTACTTTGTCCCACCCCATCCCTCTTAGCCTCCCCTTCCAACCACGATCTCATTATTTAACCTTATATAATTTTGCATATTAATTTTTTTAATGCACAGTAGCCGGCTGGTGGCTTACCGGAACGATGCCCATCCGTTACCGGTAGCTCAGCCGGCTTGCACCAGTCGCATTCTTTTTTCTCCTTTTTTCTGTGTATTGCGGCACAGTAGCTGAGGTGTTCCCCACCTCTAGCTAACGTGTATGATAATGATGATATGGTTTCCTTTCTCCCGGCCAAATCAGCGCTTGTGCTCCCCTCCACCTCTTCCAACAGCACCCCCTGCGCGCAAACAATGCACCTCGCTGGAGTCGGTGTGTTGGTGTGCGCAACACATGGCTTAACCAACGGAACTTGATGCGTGATATAATAATGCTGAGCGGTTCCTTAGCTCTTCCTGCACCAAATACCATACACCGCACACGCTGATTGCTCACGCGGTACTTCCATCAGACATGAGCTAAGCCGCGGAGGCATCGATGATCGAACGTGACTAGCCTCTTTATTTCTGCCTACCTGATGCGCCAGGTTTCACAATCGTATAAGAGGGTTGTACGAACGGTTGCATTATAAACTCTGCCCTTCAGGGCGGGAGTGATGTCACGTTTGCACCACAGGTGGCGGAGATTGGCAAAAGCACCTCGAGCTTTTGCTATACGGTTCGTAATCTCAGCTTCGAGCGCACAGGCGCTAATATAGCTGTCCAGATAGTTAAATTTTTGGGAAACTTCTAGCTAATCACCACCAATGGTCAGCGCAAAGGTGGGTCCTTGCCAATCTTGGAGAAGACCTTTGCATTTTGATGGAGCAAAGTGTAGCCCAAAACGATCGTCAGCCAGTGCTAATCGGTCCAGTGCAGCCTGGCACATTTGGGCGCTGTTACAGATGAGCGTTAATGTCATCGGTATATCCCAAGACAAAATGTCGCTCACCTGGGAGCAGCTCCACACCTTCTAAGTCGTGCCCCGCGAACACCGTTTTCATGAGTTCGTCAATGTCGAAGTTAAAAACGAAAGGTGACAGCGAGCTACCTCGTTTTACACCGCTGGAGATATTGAAGGGCGGCGACAGTTTGCCATAAACTTTCACTCTGTCCGAAGTATGCGCGTACAGCGCTTTGATAATGTTTTCATATTTATCGGCCACTTCATTTCTCAGCAAACAGTCACGCTGGGCACATCGATCAACCGAATCGAATGCGCTTTTGATCTCGAGAAACACGACTACGGTTGGTCACCAATAAACATGGCGGTGCTCCAACAATTGACACAAAGTGAAGATGTCAATGCAGCCTCGATTTCGACGAAACCCGGGTTAGTCTTCGCAGATCTGCCCTTCATGAGCGTCAGTCTATCTGTGGAGAGCGACAGAGGCAAGCAATTTTGATCAGACTGATCCCTCCATGGTTGCCGCATTCCGAACGGGAGCCTCTCTTGAAAATTGGGACTATGACGGAACGCTCCAGTCTGTCGGGACAGTTTCCTGCTTCCAAGGTTCTATTAGCAACTCGTGTAAATCATCCACAAGAGTAGGTCCCTCGAATTTGAAAAGAGCTGGGGGAATTCTATCTGCACCAGCGACCTTCTGCAATTTCAACAAACTGATCTAACCTTCGACTTCTGCGCTGAGGGTGGATTTAAAGAGTTGGCCCATGGAGAAGGGCACTCAATGTCCGAAAGAGAAAGCAGCAACTCAGATTAGTTAAACTACCTTGCAAAGTGTTCGGCCCAACGGTCCAAGCCTTTTCACAAGCTGTGGATCGTCTGTTCACTCTCGTTGAATATTGTCTCGCTAACACCAGGTCTCCTGCTGCCTGTTTCCCGTTTTACACGCAATAACTTACGTTGATTACCAACGGCAGCAGCTGTTTCCACTTCCGATACACGATGAGACCACCAGGCTTCGCGGTCTCTATTTTGTCCGACCCATGGTTTTAACCTGGGGATTTTTGCGAGTCTTGTTGTATTCGCTTCCAGTCGGAATACGTCGGCGGTGCTCCTTAAGTTCCAGAGACTTTGTAGAGACCCAATGTTTAGATTGGCAATTTCATTTGCCACATGAAGACATGCCTGCTGATAGTAACGTTTGACGAATATGCGACCAGTGATCTTCGACGGTGTTCAGTGGGTGCTTACTCAGCCCAGATGCCAGCGTAGTTTGATACGCATTCAGAACACCTGGCTTCACCAACTGGCTGGTGTCAATGCACTCAGAGCGACGTTACGGACGTCCGCCAAAACGCTCCCGCAGATCGGCACACACACCAGAGCGTGATGGTAGTCCACGCTGGTGCTCCAAATCCTTGAGCGGTTTCTACACTTGTGCGAAGTCACAGGTGTAGTAACTTTCGACACAGTACCCGCAGAAGGATGACATGGCGTTTCTCTGATCTGAATCCACATCAATTCCACTAGAAGAAACCGGAAGTTTTATCAACCTTCGGTAATTCTATCATCGCCAGCTACCTTAACGTTGCATTGTTGGATCCACCAGTACGACCCTTGGGCATTTTGCAAACTTTACCTTTTGTTGCTTGTGTATGATCTCGGTTTCATACCGTGTGTTAACTGACGATGCCGTCATCCGTTCAATCTGTCTGATTACTTTTTATGGTTGATATTACAGAACTTGATCTCATTCGTCCAGCAGTACATTCAGGGTTTGGTGTGCTTATGAGTGGATTTCTGTGTACGTTTTATGTAAGACTGTTAACTCACAGTCAGTCTAAAACATATCCGGAAAACACCAAACAATCCGTTTGTCGTAATGTGACTTATCGGTAGTGCGTATTTCCCGGCTCCATGTGGAACCGAGCCGATGTGACTTCTTGACACCAGAGGCAATGGATGACGGCGGTAGACCGTCATTATATATATATATATATATATATATATATATATATATATTTATATATTACGCATGCCCAATTAACATTTGGCAGTGTGTCACAACACATGAGTAACAATAGCAAAAAGGAGGAAGAAGAGTGAGGAAGGGCTGCAAACTCCCATTTGCTGTGTGGGCGGAGAGCTTCCCGGTTGCCCAGGCCGAGGATGAGGGTTGACTTTTTGGTGCGCCACCCCGAGGCTTTGTTCTAATAACCTGACCCACAAGGCAGCCGACTGATTCACGAAGACCGTGGGTAGCCAAATGGCTCATGCGCCTTCTTTGTGTTCGGAAGCAGTCCACAGAGAAACCGGTGGCCTGCAAGGTTATTCATCCGCCCTCCATTAAATACTCACCTCCAGTTACAGGGGTGAGTGGTCAGTGACCCTATAGCCGGTCACACTGGCTTTGAGACACCGCCGTTATGGTATACTAGCTAACTTCGATATAGCAAAACTCATTCTTTACTTCAGTTCAACTTACGAAATCTGCAACTTTTAAATGCTATATCGTACATTGCTGATGCGTCAGAAGCGGTAGCTCTACGGGTCACCTGTGTCTTATTATGGATGATGTTATTAAATCAGTAGCATGGATTACACCGACTGTTACTGTGTATCGTGACCGATGGCAACCCATCAAAACGCTCCACACAAAACGAAGGCATCTATCCTAACTTTCGACTTGACTGCATCTCCGAATGATGTCCTTGTTTCCATCATAAATTTCATGATTGCTCCTATTGGGGTACTCGCCAAATTTTTCTAATGCCGGAGCTTCGTTTATACCGTTGGTTTGTCTCGTTAAATCTCGATGCCCACTTCTATACCCTGATTGACTCTGAAAATCCTGGTATCCCATGGCATCGATCTTCTCTTTCTATGTATTCGAGTTTACTGCATTGTGATTTTCGTTCTCCACCCCTTATGTTTTGCCACGGTCTAATTTGCACCCTTACTAACAAATCTACCTTTATGCATTGTGTCTCTCTGGGCACTGCTGCCACATGTACGTTTCAGTGTTTCGTTAAGCAAGGTTTTCTTATCTCTGTACCTCTGTTCGACCTGAATACGTCTCTGCCGTTTCACTTGGGCGAATGCTTTCGGCGTTTGATTTGACATCAGACGAAAACGATGAGGATATGGTTGACCTGTCACTCTGTCTCCATTGATAACTGTTGTTGTGTATCGTTAGCCTCCTAGCCTGTGATTTTGCTTAAGCTCTAATTCACCTCCTTCAAGGCTGTTTTATCTCTTATCAATTATTTTGTTCCTGGCGCCTATCACTATTTTACGCTAAGTGCATTGTTACACTAAATCTAACCATACCAAGACACCTTAATCGTGCTATCTTCGACTCGGATTGGATCACCCTACTATAGCTGATACTGATCGTATTTCGCTCAAAAGTCCATTTTCCCTCTAACAGTATGCTCCTTGGTTGTGTGCTTGTTTGTTTTTCCAGATTTTCGCTCCGCCACATTCCATCAGAATCTCCTGTCAAATGTATCACATTCCAGGAACCTTCGGATGATCCTCGTTTCTGCTGCTACCTTTGGGTTGGCTGGCAATCCAGGCTGACGGACGATTCTTGTCGTGAAGCTAGTGTATCTACCAAAGGCCTTCAACAGAAGTAATAGTTGTCATTCACCTGTTTTTTGTTATCCGTTCTAAGCGCACCGTTTTTTCACTTTTTCATCGGATCATCCTGTCTAACCTGATTGGTGCACCCAATCTATCACACAGCTCTAATATTATCTGTTCCTTCGTAGTGCTCATGCCAAACTGTACCAGCTTTCATATCTTAACCGGTACGAAGAGCCCGGAAGCCCTTCGCGTGACCCGTACTACCGGTATGAAGTAAGTTCCTTTCCGGATTGCTTCCACATCTAAAGTGTGTTCTAATTTACATCCCTCCATTTTGTCAATCTTATCCTAATCCACTTTTTCATTTTACAAACGACGTTTGCCGTGCTATAGTGTAAAGTGCTCCGCTTCCGCAGTTATACGTTATCTTTTTCTCTCCTTGGCTAGGAACTTGTCGGTTTCTCCGAGAGGCTATCAACTGGTTTGTTCGCCGTTGATTCCCAGAAGGCCGGTGTGCCAAATCAGCTTTTGGCAATCCAGCCTATTCAGACTGGTCAAAGCGATAGTGTTGCGATTGGTCAGTCTTCTTCAGTCCATTTGATCTCTCTTATTTGGCGGATGAAGCCTACGACCGTACGAATTGGATTGTTTGATTTAGATAGATGGTATCATGCCCAGATGCCGGCTCATATTCGGTGAGTTTTGTTTTTCATATTTGATTTCTCTTGCCTCTTTTCACTTGCCAGCAGACTGAAGCCGTCACCTTGGGTACTTAGGTTATTGTTTTGAACGATTAAATCTATCTGATCATCATTCGAAGCATACTGGATCAAAAAGCTTATGGAGCGCACTGAGTTTAGGGATCACCTTGAAGCTACTGGTGCTATTTACTTCTATCACCACTTCCATCACCACCGCTGCTGATAATTTGGATCGTGATGGTGACATTCTCTACTGGATTCACATGCTGTCATGATCACGATCACCTATGTAGCACTTGTTCTCAAAGCATCACCATGAGTGGCTTCGCTGTACTACCCGCACACACTGTATCCGCTAGAAACCAGAAGAAACCCGTCTGAAAAGCATGTGCGTGGTAGCACGGACGACCAACCCCTTCCTTCGCGCATTCGTTACGCGCATGGCAATCGAGGATGGGCTCTGCATTGTCACAGCGAATAATCACTCATATACGTCGATCATCGCTAACCATGGCCTGGTGGCATAAGTCCCTGATTTCAACACGCACGGGTTGTTGTTTCAACTCACGCGAAACCGCGCTGTCGACGAGTTCCAATAGGCCATAGCTACCGTGCAGCGCGGTCTGACCAGAGACTAGCTGCAAAGAATCTCCTGCACGATAGTTTCGCATTCGATCTCCACTAAGTCAGTGCACGTAGTCTGCCTGGTATGTGAGCCCACTTGGCAGTGCCCAAGGATCCTTGGAATCGAAATGACCACAAATGACTCCGTTCTTTCAGGCTTTTCCTGAGTGAAGTTTCTGTTAGGTGACCGACTGACAAACCTTGAGTATGCGGACGAGGTACTTCTCCTCTAGTCGGACACAGAGTTTGTGCAAGCACTGCTGAATAGACTGGAGCGCAGCACTGTACGCTTCGGTATGCGCTTTGCACCTTCAAAGTGCAACGTATTATTGCACGACTAGACTAATACGCTGTCAATTCTGTTTCTGAACAGCCACTGGAAGTGGTGGATCGGTTCACTTACCTTGGTAGCTGTATCATCTCTGGTGGTCACATCACTGAGGAGGTTACTTCGCGTAACAGTACCGCCCGTGTGGCTTACCAGAGACTCAACCATCTATGGAGACGGCGTGATATCAACCTGTCATTGTAAGGTAGGGTGTATAACGCTGCGATAAGGTTAGTCTTACTGCATGGAACAGAGATCTGGCCAGTTCACGGCGAAGACATAAACCTTTGGTCGTGTTTGACCACGGATTCTTGCAGGTTATTGCTCACGTCTGGTGGGAACCCTGGGTGGGCGATGCTGAGGTTGGTTTTTGGTATGAAGCCTTCCGGTGCCTCATTCGAATGTTTGCTGAATCTTAATCGCTTACCTTGGCTAAAGGATGGCTCCGTTGATCGGCTTCCTCGACTTGCATTATACGCCGCTGATGCACCAAGTTGGGCGAAACCGCAAGGTGGCCATTCTATGACGTTGCATAGAGACATGAAAAAACTGTCTAAGAGACCTGGTGCATGGATGTGGGCCTCGGGATAGTCCACACCGTATCAGACATAGCGCAATCACGCAGTCAGTGGCGTACTGCATTCGGTTTCTTGCAACTGGTTGTTAATTTTGGTTCCATTCTGATTGTTAACGCACCCCCTTCTTGCTTCAATTTTTTATGTTCTATCTGCATTCAACTCCAGCTCAGGTGATCAGTTGTGATCTGAGTACCGCAGTGCGGTGGATCCAGTTGCCACGACTCACATCGCAATGATAACAAAATAACAACGGGAAGACAGACGGAATGCAAAGAAAATGAAAGCAAGAAGGAAGTGCGCTATATATTATATATGGTTGGCCGCATCCGGTTTCGGATTTGCCTGTCACTGTGGCCAGTCACAGGACGCCTGCGCCTACAAAGGGACCATGGATGGCTTGCGCTGCACCACCCACAGCTCCATCCACACACCCAATATCCAGTGTAAACCCGAAGGAATGAGACCGCGAAACATGCGGATGGGAGCCACGTTTCATCAACGGAGCCGGCCCACACTCCTTCACAGGCAAACACACGCCCGCTGTATTTGGGGAATCAACCGCACACAAGGCGGTGGCTGGACCGTAGTCCCCTCCACACTGAGTGCATGGAACCACTCTTCGAGCTTAGCACGACCACAAGGACCGTGCACCCCGTCCCCTCCAGCAACGACCAACTGTCTCCAGGAGCCAGTATGGACGAGGTAGTGGGTAATAGACAGGTAGGCACCTTGTCAACATGCACATCAAGCGCAGCCACACCTGGGATGTCAACAACTGCTAATCATTTGAAATGCCGATATCGAATAAAGTAAACCTATATGACGACATAAATACTCGCTAAATGAGCATATGGTAGAAAGTAGTTAAATGTGGATACGCGATAAGTACAAAATGTCCGAAAGTTATTCAAAAATACCACGCGATAAAATTACGCAAGTTTATCACAGTATGCATGAGCGACGTGTGTAAGTTGGGAGAAGATTATCAAGTACGCAGGACAAACCAACTAAAGTGTACTGAATTTTATCCACATTAAAAAGACCTAGTTTAAATGTACGTTGGTTTAGCCCAACTGCGGTGAAGAAGCATCATGAATGCAACATCAGCCTCAGCAGGGGGCACGTATTATATATATATATATATATATATATATATATTGCTTCAATTGTTTGAAAACTGACAAATGTGACATCCAAACCATGGCTGTAATAGTATGGAAAAAATGATGGTTCAAAAACAAAGGAAAACTGCTTGTTGTTGTTGTATTTAACACACAGCGTTTGGAGTTTTTCTTTCAAAATCGCAATGTGGATGAAAGGGAACTATTTGGACGACCTTGACACCAGTGATTTCGGTCACGCGCCTAACCTCCTTAACTTCCAGCCATTTGGTGTCCCCCTCACGTGGTCCCCAACCTGGAAGACGGGCAGATCCTGATGAAGCAAGACATGCGGTGAAATCCTTGATGTTCCTCTTCAACCTCATCGGTTGTCCACCCCGGCATGTTCTTCACTTACGCTCAAGAATTGCAAATAATGCACTAAACTAATCAGAATGGGAACAAAATTAACAACTAGATGCAAGAAACCGAATGCAAAACACCACCGACTACGTGACTGCGCCGTTTCAGATACGGTCTCTAACCATTGGTGTGGACTATCCCGAGGCGCCCATTCAGGAAGACGGCACGCACCAGCCTGGCCAAATTTCTCAGTTAATTTCTTCATGCCACGTCAAGGACTGGCCACTTCGCTGTTTCACTCACTCTGGTGCAGCCACGGCGTATAATGCACGCCGAGGAAGCCGATCAACGGGCATACCGAGGACATGGCCTAGCCAACGCAAGCGACTAATATTTGTCAAACACTCGAGAGAGGCACTACTAGGCTTCTTGCTAAAAACCCGCAAGAACCCGTGGTCAAACACGGCCAAAGGTTTATGTCTTCGCCGTGAACTGGCCAGATCTCTGTTCCATGCAGTAAGACTGACCTTATCACAGCGTTCTACACCCTACCTTTCACTGACAGGTTGATATCCCGCCGTCTCCATAGATGGTTGAGTCTCTGGTAAGCCGCACGGGCGGTACTGTTACGCGAAGTAACCTCCTCAGTGATGTGACAACCAGAGATGATACAGCTACCAAGGTAAGTGGACCTATCCACCACTTCCAGTGGTTGTTTGGTGGTATATAAAACCGGATGTGTCGGTCCAATCATGAAGCAGTACTTTGCACATTTAAGGTGCAAAGCACATGCCGAAGTTTGTGGCGCAACTCGTCAGTCTATCCAGCAGTGTTTTCACAGCCACTGCGTCAGACCTAAGAAAATTTATATCGTCCACATACTCCAGGTTTCTCAGTCCGTCACCTGGTAGAGTCTGAAGGAACGGAGTCATTCATGACCATTTCTATAACAAAGTTGAAGAGGAAAGGACATATATGACAACCCTGGAGAACCACTCTTGTCGTGGGGAACTCAGGAGACAGTTCCCCTGAGACCCTTACACGGCCTCCAGAGCCACGGTTGAGACTGTACAGTGGAAAGGAATTTAGCTGGCACGCCCTTTAATGGATAGGCAGTACCACAAGCTGGCGCGGTCAACAAAGTCGAAGGCGGCTTTCAAGTCAAGGAAAACCACCATTGTCTGTCGTCTGTATATGTGTCTCTGGTCTAAAACTTGACGAAGACTAAATATCTGGTCGATACAACCACAACCAGGGCGGAAGCCAGTCTGGCTTTCAGTGGATCGGTTCTCACAGGGACCATAAGTCGTCGGAGAATGGTATCCGTGGGGAATTCAGATGCAGTGGAAGAATGGCTGTTGCCTCGATGATTTTCGCGCGAAGTACGCTGGCGCTTGAAGGTAGCACGACAGTTGCCAGTCGCCAGCCTTATGAAACCTTTTCGGTGTTCCAAACCGTGTTCTATAGCGTTGCGAGTTCAGTCAAAAAGGAGTCGCCACCATCTTTCAGCAAAAATGGAGGAAGCTTGTCGGCTTCAGGAGTCTTGTTTCGTTTCAACACGGAAAGCTTATGTCGAATCTCTTCCAAAGTGGGAGGTGTCAAATCTGCTTCCCATGATGGCTCAGGCGATTCGGCAAGCGAGTGTCGCGGCAGATCTGCTGAGCTGCTCTACAAAATGTTCCGCCCAAAGGGCTAGTCGACGACGCCGAGTATAGATCAGCTGCCCGTTTTTCTCAGGTATTGTCTCCCTAACGGATGGCTTTCTCGGACTCGTGTTCCGAATGAGCTGGAGCGGAACTCGGCTGTTTCCAGTAGCACTTGCTTTCTCCATATCACGGGCCATTGCGATCCACCAACTTTCCCGGTCGATTCAAAATCTCCTTGTGATGCGTGGTTTCGGAAGGTTACGGACACATTGGAACTTAATGCCCATCGGAACCCGCTTACGCGCTTCGATCATACTGATCGATGCCTCAGAGATCCATTCACAGTTAGACGTCT